CTTCCATGGGATACCAACCACTGAGGTGTTATGGAGTGTGGAGGATCAGGTTCTAAGTAAATATGCTCAACCATGTGTTTTCCATTATCAGTTCCTTCCTTTTTCCCCGAAGCAGTAATAGGATGAATGGATGACTTATCAGCAGGAAGAGGGTTCTCTTGGTGGGATAAACCTTTCCCTCTCAGAGTTCATCCACTCAGGAATAAGACTGCTGTATTGTAAAACAGAGTACCTGTCTCGATATTTCCAACATATAAATACAACAATAATAATTCCAGCCAGATAGCTTGAGTCACAGAGTACAGCATGTCCTTGAAAGAATATTTAGTGTTTGTTTATTCCCTGTCCAGAAGAGATGTAGACATATTTTTCTCTCTGTAAGGAGACTCCAAACCAGGCCTAGGATCTATCCTTGGATTCAAATTTTAAACTGTACACAAGCAACAGCATGCAAGGGGGTTAACACACTTTACTACTACTGTTACTTGCTAAGCTCCATCATGTGCTGAGCCATGTACAAACAATGAGGAAGACACTGCTCCTGCCAGAGGAATTTACAATCCAAGGCCCTGATCCTACAAGTTATTCCTTGTGGGCAGATTTCTGCAACCAGGCGGAGACTCACTGAAGTAAACAAGGCTCCACTCCTGCAGAATCTGTTGCCAGATAGGGGCCTATATCAGACACAGAGCTTTACATCGGCATACATCTTTAAAGTACAAAAGTGGAATATTTTCTGTACTTCTTCGTCGTACCCCACTTGTGTTTCAAGGAAAACAAAAAATAATGTTGTGTTTTCCATACATACTAGAGAGATCATGTGTTTTCAGACTGAACGGCTTTTATTTTAGATTGAGAAAAACAAAAAACAAATCTCCATGAGAGAGCAAAATGTGTGTTGCTCAAACTGCAAGAGCAGCTGCCTTGAACTGAAATGGGTTCTCCAAAATGGAGCATCTCACAGCAGCAAGCCAGACAAACACCATAAAAATGAGAGTTACATAACTGTGTGCTGTACATCTCACACACACCGGTGTGAAAAATACTGGAGAAAGCCTGTTTTTAAAAGGGACAGCACCCACAATGTTTTATTTGTGGTATAAAACTGTACTTTTGTATTACTGAGTATGACCCTTTGAAAGATTATTTATTGCTGACATGCAGGAAGGAGTGCATCCTATATTGACTCAATACAGGACATGGGATATTAGGTGTGAAATAAAGGACAGGTGATCATATCACCTATCCCCCATCCTGGGGCTCTGCCTGAAACAAAACAAAGCACTTTACCACGCCCATAGCCCTTCCACAACCCCTTCTCAATGCGAGTGATAGAACAATGCCTACTTCCAGGAGCATCAGTGATTCACAATTTAAGGCCAGAAAGGACCATTACATCATCTAGATTGACCTCCTGTATATACAGGCCATTAAATTTCACCCAGTTATTTCTGTATTGTCCCAATAACTCATATGTTTGACTAAAGCATGATTTGTGTTTGGCTAAATCATGTCTTTCAGAAAGGCATTCATTCTTGACTTAAAGACACTGAAATGAAGAATCCACCACTTCCCTTGGTAATGTGTTTCAACGGTGGTTAATCACCCTCACTGTTAAAAACTTGTGCCTAATTTCTAATTTGAATTTGTCTGGCTTCAGTTTCCAACCGTTATTTCTTTTTATACCTTTCTCCGCTAGATTAAAAAGCCCAGTATTTTCTCTATGTGCATGTTCTTGTACACACTATGATCAAGTCACCTCTCAAGCTTCTTTTTAATACATTAAATAGTTTGAACTCCTCAAGTCTCTCCCTGTAAGGTGCTTTCTCTAGCCCCCTGAGTAATTTTTCTGGCTCTTTTTTGCACCTTCTTCAGTTTTGTACCATCTTTTAAAAAATGTAGACCTCAAAACTGTACGCAGAATTGCATTGTCTGTCTCACCAGTTCCATATACGGAGGTAAAAATCACCTCTCTATTTCTAGTCCCATTTGTACTTCCAGGGATCACATTATCCCTTTTTGCTACAGCACCACACAGGCAGCTCACACTGAATTGCTGGTCCACATAACCCCTAAATCCTTTTCAGAGTCACTGCTTTCCAGGATACAGTCCCCAACTCTGTAGGGCTGCATGCATTACTTGTTCGTAGGTATATAACTCTGCATTTGGCTGCATTAAAGAAACACATTGGATGGGCCTAAGTTACCAAGCCATCCAGACTGTTCTGTATTATGGCCCATTCCTCATCATTATTTTCCTCTCCACCAATCCTTGTGTCATCTGCAAATTTTATCAGCAGTGATTTTATATTTATTTCCAGATCATTGATGAAAATGTTGAATAGCATAAGGCCTAGGATCAATCTCTGTGAAACCCCATTAGAAACAGCCCCATTCGGTGAGGATTTCCCATTGCTGGTGAGTTGTTGACATACGTCAGTTGGTCAATTCTTAAGCCATTTAATGTGTGCTGTACTGATATTGTATACGGCTAGTTTTATCATTGGAATGTTGTGCGGTACCTCAGTCAAATGCCCTATAAAAGTCAAGTAGGTTACATCTATGTAACATTACTGAAAACTTCATGCTCCCCAACAAACGCCTTTCAACCAGGCACCCCACTCTCTGTAACAGCTCTTCCTCGTTGTAAGAGTGGAGACCAATTCCTGCCATGTGACAATCACAGGGGTATGATTTTTTATAACCGTTACTCACAACAGGTAACTAGGAACAGGAAATAAAGATCAATCTGTTACCGGCACTTCCCTGTGTCACACCTTTATTGCACTCAAGGGAAGCAGTATTTCCTGTAGATTAGAAATAAGAGACTGGCAGTCAAGATTCCCAGGTTATATTCTCAACTCTGACCACCCATTGTGTGACCTTGGCCAACTCACTTAACTTCTCCAGGCCTCAGTTTCTCCCATCTATTAAAAGGAGCGGATATCCACCTTTGAAATGTGCTATGAGATGTTTGATTACAAGGTGCTGCAGAAGTGTTATTAGTGGGAGGACAGGCAGAGGAAAGAAGGGAAGAAAGGTCAGTTTGGGTCTCTTTTCTTCCAAGAGCCCCAACCTACCCCACTTTTCAGAGGCCAGAAAACCTTCCCTTCATCTTGACATAGCATTCCCTATTGCCTCGATCTTGGAACAGTGTTTCCTACTGGTCCTGCCAAGCCCTAACAAGCTAGCCATTCCCAGCCTTGCTACAAGACTAGTCCTGAGCATTATTCTGCAGACTACTGTTAAGTTCAAACCCATTTTGTTTAGTAGTAGCATAGACAGGGCTTTCCCAGGAAGCTGGATTCATCCTGCATCAATTTGCGGTAGAAACTCTCTCTCAAAATCTAGAGCACCCTGCAGACAATAGTGGCTAGTGGTTAACTAATTGTTCAAGGCCATTTTTAGTAGATTTTGTTTGAATTTGCTTATTTAAAGGTATTGAGTTTTTCAGTTCCACAAGCTGTATCTAAAATACGAATTAAGGAAGTTCAGTTTTCTTGCAGCTACTGGCTTTTGAAACTATGATTTGTTTTCTTTGACTATCAGAACAATGTGGCTTTAGCTACTATCCTAAAATGTTCATTTTAGGAGATAAAAAGCTTGTAAAACAAGATCATTGTAACTAAACAACAATTAAAAAAACCAGGCCAGGTGTTCTGCATAGTTTTTCTTAGCATGAAGTATTATTGTTCCATGGGTCTGACTCTAAATTCAACACCTCTGATGAACATGGCTACCTGATAGTGTCCTGTGAATAACATACCAGGAGAGGGTAGATTTTAATTGTGTACGAAGTACTCATAAAAACACAGCACAGAACTCTCTGGAGTTTCTGGGGAGCTGAGGGCACACTGCACCCTGTAGGATAGGGCGCTAGGAGAAGAAGTGGTTTCTGGAGATTTTTACCATAAGGAGAGCTTGGTACAGAAGTATGTTTACGCTGGCAGAGCCTGACTGGATGAAGTGCTGTTGAAACAGGTGACTGGTCAGGTTTGTGTTAAATGACCACTGGGCTGGAAAACAAGCACAAACATTAAGTGGCTTGTTTAGTTGTGAGTAAAATATCCATCCACTTACACTCTAATCATGCTCTGCCCAAAGCCTCAGAGACAAGAGAACTTTTCCGAAGCTTCTCCCCCACCTTCAACCCCTCACCTGCAATGCTCCATCATCCCATTCAATCTTTTGTTTTCACTCATTTCAATGTAAAAATTAAAGGCTGCATCCTGCAATCTTCAAGCAAAACTCTCACTGACTTTAATGGGACTAACCCCAGGAATCGGGACTACCCACATGAGTAAGAGACTGGACCCTAAGGAACTGCACTGAAAATGAAGAATAAATAAAGTGATTGATTTTCAAAGGTGCAGGGCACCCACAACTCCTGCTAGCATCAATTGGCACTACGAGTGCTCAGCACATTTGAAAATTAGGGCACATGAGGGTATGTTCTGTTTCTCTTGTCCCGGGGCTGCCTCAGCTCCCCTGCACCCTTCTCCTCCTCCTCCAGGAGAATATTTTTTCAGATAAGTTCCTTACAAAGAGTTGTTAATAATTTATAAAAGCAAAATATTTAAAGTACTTTTTAGGAAAAGGCAGAACTGACAATCTAGAGACAGACATAGCTAATAATCCAACGTCAAAATAGTGAACCTGAAGCAAGGTTCATTTGTATAATAATGAGAGAACAAATAATTGTTATTCTGGCATCTGTTTTGTGGTGGTGGCACGCATGCATTCTGGGAGAAAGTTCTGTATTGGTGTAAACTGGCAAATCGCCATCGACAAAGCAGAGGATTTTGATTGCCTCAGCTAGACTAACAATAAAATAATGGTCTCCTACACTGGACTGCACTCCACATCATAAATACTGTAGACAGTATCTGAATGACTTTGTCCTTGATCTTTCCAGATGAGACAAGACAAAATAGCTTACTCAGTGTGTTTTGCTGTTGATAAAGTATAGAGTAAGCGTTGCCATTGAAGGCTGCACTCACCCGCTCTTCCTCTTCTCGGAGATCTGGCATGGTGCTGATACAGAGACTCACTGCAGTGATGGCCACAAAGGAGACTGATATACAAGCAAAGATCTTTCCTGGGATCCCTGAGTGAGGGTTCTCCACCATATCCCTGAGCTTTCTCATGCACAAACCCAAACGGCTATTGTCCTGGAAGGCACATTGCGGAGTTTCATTAACCATCATCTCCCTCTCGTACAGTGTGGCCTCGGCTGCCTCCTCCTCCTTCTGTCGTAATCTTTTCTTACAGCACCACTCCAGGTGTTCCTCTTCTATCCCCCAATACACCAGCTCCTCTTGGAAAGAGAGGGCACACATCTCCCTTAGAAGCCTCAGCTTCCCAGCTGTCAGGAAAGTCATGATGGTCCTGAAGGCACAAGGGTTACGGTCGAAAAAAAACTCATTGCAGCTGACATCATAATCATCACAGATGTCCATGATCTCATCATAGTTGTTACAAGATTTTAGTTTTCCAAGCCTGGTCAAAGGGCAGTTCTCCAGTGTGGTCCATGGAATCCTGTATTTAATGCCACCTACATTGATGATCACATGCCTGGTTCGGTCCTCTAGATGGGCCAAGCAGCACAAGTCTTCCCCAGGGTGAAGAAGCTTGGCTTTTTTATAGAAGAATCCTTTCTTGGTCTGCACCTCGCACAGGTTTTCCAAATTGTTGTAGGAATACGAAGTGAACTTGGGATCTGCATTCCCAGTGAGCAATGCCATTTCCTGATACATTTGTTACGTTCATGGAGGTATCCGATCTACTCAGAGAAAGCGATTATAAAGTGGAGACAAGTGGCCAATCTGCAAAAGGAAATTAAAAAATGACAATTAGGGCTCCGGTAGAGAAAAACAATTCCACAACAATGTTTTCTCTAGAGTTTTTAAAATTTTGTTTGCATTTTAGGATGAGTCTTTTAGGACCCACTCCTCACAGCAATCAAATAGACAGCTGGGTCCATGCGTCTGGAGCCTACTATGCAACTCCAAGTGATGACCAAAAGGGAGTATGAGTAATGCATCATCATTGTGACCTGCTCCTTTATAGAGGAGGAGCAATGCCCCAGCCAGTCCATGAAGGGGCAGGGGGGGAAGAGTTTGTGTGGAAGCATGTTAAAATGGAAATCACCATTGACCTGGGAGTCTAACAGGTTATCAGATAAGGCTTCGTTGAAAGACCTTTTCTTTATTCTGACAAATCCAGGGGATGCATCTACTATGGAATTATCCAGTGGTGAGAGTGCAAACCTCTTTCACAATCAGTGCTCCTTTACTGATATGGTTCAAATACTTTTCAGTTAACATGGCTGTGACAGGGTCCTGGGTAAGGAGCGCTTAACCAGCCCTCTGCCATGCCAGCCCCAATTAAGGGAAGTAGATTGGAGCTGGCTGAATAGGCCTGTGCCTGCCTGGCAACTAGCAACAGCTGCCAGCTTAATTAGGTAGGGGCTATAAAAGGGCTGTGGGTGGGAGGAGAAAGAGAAAAAGAAAAAGAGAGAGAGAGAAACAGGCAGGCCAGTCGGCCAGCCAGGCGGCTCTGGTCTGCTGCTTGTAAAGCCTGGCTGAGAAACAAACCTGTTTATAGATAGTAAGGTGGTGATGGGAAATAGCTACACATAAAGTGCACTGGTGATTGCATCAACCTGAGGCGTCCCTGAGTGGTTTGTGAGGGCAGCAGGGGCAGAAGTAAGAGGGGCCCAGCTGCGCCTCACTACACTGGCTTACACAGTTCACGTATGGTGTGCAGTTTGTGTAGCTATCATACTGTATGAAAACAATCTTTAAGAGGGTCATATTTTGATTCTTATAATTTGGAATAACCAAATCAGCAGTGCTCCAGAGTGTGGTGTATGGAAATTCAAGAACTGCAGTGATAGATGTGGTTACTGCACCTTTGAAAGCTGGAATGTTCTGACCTGCCAGAGTTCCAAAGGAGACTCGTTAGTCAGCAGCAGTCACAGCTGGAGATAGTTGGAGACTGAAATCTAAGAATGAAGTGGGGCTGGAAGTAGCTTGTCAACAGAGGACCCACTTGCTGCTAACTTGGGACCAGATGACGTTGCATAGTTGCACAATAGCTGTTATTCTGTGAGGAGTCCCACTATAATTTGCTTAACAAAAATCAAGCTGGACTGGAGCACTGGGGACCATATGTTAGTTCTGGCTAGTGCAGCAACAGATTTCAATCAAGTAAATTGAGGAACCAGAGAAGCAAGTGACAACTGCTCTTCCTGACTGGCATTTTTGATCTAAACACCAGACATGAAAGCCTATCTGTGGATGTCAAGGGGAGTTTTGCCACTGGCTTCAATAGGGCCAGGATTTCACCCCAATTCCCTAAGCAACCTACAAGAAGTGGGGACAAGTTTCTAACTTCTTGCCCTGAGGGGGAAGTCTCTGGTTGGAAAGCCTTTCTTTGTTATGGAGCAGGGCAGAAGAGCTTAATCTGCTGCTGTTCTGAATGCATCAGGGGCATCATTTGCAGCTCTAGGCTTGAGTTTACACCTCACCTTCACCCCCTAAACAGAACCACTGTTTCTTGCACCACTGTCCTCAAATCTCTTAAGCTTATTTATTCAGCATCTGCTGCCTGTTATTTTGCTCTCAGTACCACTTGTCTTGAGAGCTCTGAGCCTCTCTGTTCTCCACCCATTTTCCTCCTGAAGCAGTGTTATAGGTCTCAGGTACTCTGGAATTATAGCAGGGGAATACTCAAAGCCTCCTGGGCTGTATAAAGGCCTTTGTAAGTAAGTAAGGAAAATAAACAAGCGTTGGAGCTTTGGGCCGCCAAAGAGGAGATCTGGACTGGAAGTGGACTAGAGGTGGGGAGCATTTTAAGAAATGCCTCTATAACTAGGTAGATGAGCAGAGAAAAAGCTACGGAATGAGGGATAGTTTAACAGCACTTATGGCAGGATGGTGAGGGTGAGGTGGGAATTCAACAACTGCGGTGAAAGTAACGTGTTCCAATTCACTTTCCATCTCATCTGGTTTCCCATTCACGTGTGCTGGAAAGAGAACTGAATATGAGGGTTCTAATGGTTAGAGCATCAGACTGGGACTCAGGCGACCTGGGTTCTATTCCTAGCTCTGCTACTGGCCCGCTGGGTGATCTTGGGCAAATCACGTCACCTCTCTGCACCTCAGTTTCCCCATCTGTAAAATGGGATAATGGCACTGACCTTCATAAAGCGCTCTGACATCTAGTGATGAAAAGTGTGATATAAGAACTAGGTATTATTATATATTCAAAGACAAAATCACAGTAGCTCTTCTTTCCTTTGGCCTCAATCAATCCTTAGATAGATTAAGCCAAAAGACGCTCCAGCAGCAAATGACAAATACTTGTTAGTTGAAGGCATGCGTCACATCATTACTGTTCTCTTCATTTATGGTTAATTGAGTCATGCCTGCATCACTAATATGGGTCACATTCTATATACATTACTGGGACTAGGGGAAAGAAGAATATGAGGTGCCATGACATATTAACTCTAACAACAGAGGCACTGCCTACATCCTAAATCAGAACTCTACAAGAGAAATTTGTCTCCCTCTGAAGTCTGATGTAGCCTTCATATAAACCTGTCATAGAAGCTTCTGTAGGCTCTGCAGCCAAAATTACAGAAATTGGATTTCTCTCTACATAGAATTCCAACAAGCATAGGGTGGGATTTTCCAAAGTTACATACCCAACTCCCATTGATTTTCAGTATTCAGTCCTCTGCAAAAATATGTGGACAAACTAAGTAGAGTAGATAAATGCTCTGTATGATGTCAGTTTCATCTTAGGTCAAATAAGACAGAGTAAATTGCTAGAACTACACAACAACCTGTACTTTCCTTTCTCTAAATTTCACAGAACTAAAGTATTTTCTAGTGAAAGTGATTAAATGTTTCTGTTTGTCAGATGCCTCCCAATTTGCAAGAGAAACTGTTTGAGGCCTGAACCCAAAGAATATTTTATTTTATTAAAAAATTCCTCAGAGGGAAAAGATTTATATGCCACTCTCTTCACATCCTATCTTGCTGATTTTGGAGAACGCAGACTGTCTGACTGGTTTGTTGGATGCCCCATAGCATTCCTCTGCCTGGTGGTCTGTCTCAGCAGGAGCCACAGTAGGGTAACAAATTTTAACACAGCACAACTAACTGATATGTTAGTTGGCACTAACATGGCACTACAGCTCCATCCTAGACAGGCTGCTATGGGAAACTTCACTAGTCCAGAAGGAATTAAGAACCTACAAAGAGTAAAGTACGGCATCTTATAGCAACTTGCATCCTGTGAAACTGGTGCCTTATCTCATGGACTTTAATGCAGCTGGGATTGCAAATACCATTACTGTCATAGTAAGGGTGCGTTGTCAACACAGCCTATGCTTTAAGGATGCAGCCTCTTGTTGCTTTTGTCAGTAAGATAAAATATTCACTGCCACTATTCTGGGCATCATGCCTTTGTTTCATGCCTCACTTGTTATACAAGTCAACATCTGAAAAGTAATGTACATCATTTTGTGGCAAAAAGCCAGGATTTGCTTTCTTCCATCCTGTCCATCAGCATGATGGTGCAGAAAAAGACCAATACATTTCCAGTATTCTTTTGAAGCTAATGCTGTGTGTGTCCAATTTTCTAGGTGAATGAGAATTAAGCAGCAGCATGATGTGCATGTAGATTTTTGCATTCAGTTTACACTGGCCTTTTCATTTCCAGCTCTCTGAACTACAAAGGAGGATATATTTTATAAAAATCCTGTTGATTAAATATCTGACTTAATGAATCAGACATTCAGGTTTTTATTAAATTGTCACTGGTGACTGGATAGGGGATTGGTAATACAATACGGAGCTTTTCTCCTCTAGGTCAGCAGCAGAATCTCAGGTAGTTTCTGAGGGCTTGTCTACACTTAAAAAACACTACAGTGGCACAGCTGCGCTGCTGCAGCGCTTTAGTGTAGACATGACCTACACTGATGAGAGGTATTCTCCCATCGGTGTAGGTGTGACACTCTGTATCTCGGGGGAACACCCTTGTACCCCCATGTTCATCCTTATAATACGATTGTGTGGTATCCAGTGCAAAGTTTATCATGTCAGGTGCCTTTGGAAGGCTCATGATGCACTGAGCATTGTTGTTAGTTACAGTAATGTTATAGGTTGTAATTTCATGTATATAGTTATCAGGGCCGGCTCCAGGGTTTTTGCCGCCCCAAGCGGAGGAAAAAAAAAAAAAAAAAGCCCCAATCGCGATCGGCGGCAGCTCCACTGCGCCGCTTTCTTCTTCGGCAGCAGGTCCTTCCCTCCGAAGAGCCCGACATGCTGCCCCTTCCCCTTGGCCGCCCTAAGCACCTGCTTGCTGGGCTGGTGCCAGCCCTGATAGTTATGAGGCTGAAAATGTGTCCTCATGGCTTAAAACAAGCCCAAGCAAAACCCTCCAGGAGCAGAGGGGCAGTTCACACCTCATCAGGGCATGTATGGGACAAACCCAGCCCAGCCTCACAGGAAAAAAGAACATTGGCCTAGGCAACAACAAAGGATCTGTTGGACTCTCAAGTGAGTCACCTCCGTTCCCTTGGTCAGTTTGGGACTGCAATGAGGTAATGCTCACTTGACTCTAAAGAGGGGGAGGGCAAAGCCAAGGGGGAAGAAAGAACATGATAAAAGGGAGAGACATTTGCCATGCTCTTCCTCTCTCTCTTCCACCTCCATCTACAGACACCACCACCAAGAGACTGAAGCGCTGATCAAAGGGGAGAGTCTGGCTGAAGGGCAACCCGCTAGCCTGTGGTGAGAAGCATCTAAGT